GAGACCTTGTCCTGTGATCTCTAGAGCGTCCTGTGATCTCTAGAGCGTGCAATTGCCAATTAGAAAAAACAAACCAGTATCTACATTTCTGTGCTGCAAGCACAACTGAGAGGTTTGTGTAAGTTTGAAGGGGTGTGGAGATTTGTAGTGCCCATTAAGATGGAATTGTTTATTTAAAAAAGTAGAGACTCATACTTGTGAAAAAGCCAGAGTTAAGTCAATGTCAAAGTCTTTTTTTTCACAGCATCATTGTGAAAACAGTTTATAGGAACTATAATTGCAAGCTCACCTCTTCTCACTGCAGCATATATTTCAAGTGTGTTAACATTTATGTATAAATATAAGTTTTATAAAAATTGGTTTTTTCATTGAATTATTGGTGCTGGCCGTCAGCATACTAAAATATAATAAATACTTTTTAAATGTTACTTGATAAAATATTAACTATTAATTTTGTTTCATATTTTATAAAGCTGAACAGTTGTCTCTGAAATTATATGATAACTCATTAAATGTGAACAATGCAGAAGAATTGGATGTGCAAGTCAGAAAAAGATGTCTGCAAGACTACTGGAAGAAAGCAAAAGAAATTTTACACAGAATAAACTCAATTGAAAAACAGCATGATGAGGTTGGCCTATTTACCAAAATAGGATGAAACTAATCACATCTTTCCAGATTTAAGGAGAAAGCAAAAGTAAATCCTTAAGATAATTTCAATGTGAGCAGAAAACCCAGGAAAAAATGTTGGATTTGTGTGAAACTACAACCTGCAACTTTTATCAGTATTGTAGATCAGACCGAGTTACAGGTGTGCAGAGAATGGAGGCATCTGTATTGTATGAAGTATTGTAGTTTACTGTAAACCCAGATTTTCTATGAGATAGAAAAAGAAGTGGAATTTATTTTTAATTGCTGGACATCCATATGTATAATTTTTATATATTCATGCATGAAATGCTCAGGGTTGTACGGCTGTGGTGGGATAGATGATAAAGGAGAATGCGAACATACACTGAGATAAAGTTGTTTCATTTTTTCCTTGTGCTGTAAAGCTTCTAAGTATCTGTGGGTTTGGAACAACAAGTTTATGAGTTGTTTAGATGGCTCTTACTTTCTAGCAGCGCCTTGCATTAGTAGCAAATTCCTTGCTTTAGCCTGAAATTAGCATTTAGGAAGAACCCCCTCAATACCTTAAGTGGCATTGCTGTCTTGTTGGCTCTCAGCTCAGTCAGGGGGTTTTCTGAAGCTTCTCTGGAATTTGCTTAACCCTCAGAGTTTGACTATCTAGTTAATCCTGGCACTGGATTAAGTTACCATTTTTATAGAGCTCATATAATCACTAACCAATATTTTTCAATACAGGAAGGAGTGCAAGGAGAAATATTTGTAGACGAATCTTCAGTAGCCAATTCTGAAGCATTAAAATCCCATGAAGTGAATCCTGTTGATCCAAAGAAGTACACAGAAGGAACACAGAAAGATGTCTGTTGTCCACAGTTGACCTCAAAGTTGAATTATCAGGTTCTTGCTTCATCTGTAACTTCTGCTCCACAAAAAGATGAAACGGTGAACACTGTGGATGCAGCTCCTACCAGACAAAGTGAACAGAGCAACATTCCATGTTCAGTCACTGAGCTGCAAACAGACAGTGTACCTCAAAGTCACAATATAAATGGAAAAACTGCCTTTGGAAAAAATCAGTCTGGTCTTCAGGCAGGGTGAGAATCTTAACACCTGAGCAGAAATACTAAGTTGCTTTTCTTTAGCCATTCCAGATTGACAGGATTTAAAATTACCTGCTACTTACTATAGGTGTTTTTCCTAGTGGAAAGGCATAGCCCTTTGGTGGCCCACCAGAGGTTGTTTTGGAGGTCACAGATCAAAGATTGCAGTCATTGCAGTAAGAAAGCTGCTGATCTTTGAGTGCTGGTGTTGTACAGAGAGCCTCTTTCAGGGTATGTTTGAGTGCCTTCAGCATAGCGCTGAAAATCATTCCTGGCTTTTGCCCCAAAGTTCTCACTGGTGTAACAGACCAAGATTTAAGCTGTTGGTTTGGACAAAACCACAATGGTTTCTGTAATATGCACTTACTAAGGAAACAGCAGGTAGAGAACTGCTTGGAAAAGTACTGAAACTAGAGTGTATACACAGTAGGGGGAAAAGTTTCTGCACCTCTCCTGTTCTCACCTCATGTTCCAGTGCTACCCTGCATGGAAAGGGAAAGGAACAGCCCTATTTGGGGCTGTTCTCTTGCTCCTTGGTCTCACACAGATGCTAATTTTCCTCATTTTCTTTTGCTGCTTGTGTTTATCTTTCCTGTTGATAAACCCAAAATTATTTATACCTAACTTGTAATGATAAATACAGATTCCATTCTCTTGAGTTTATATCTGGAATATCCCTCAAGACAGTCAGTGGAAAAGTATAAGCAAAACTACATTTTTGTGGGTGTTTATGTTTTGTTTTGGGCTTTTTGAGTTCCACATTTTTATTGTGCTTTTTTTATGTGTCTGGCTGCACCTTGCTCTGTGCAGTTTCCTGGTATTATATTGTTACTTTGCAATTACCACAGAAATCACAAAGAGCCTGGATATTTCCCATGGTACATTCAGGTAAATTTTGCTTTGCTACTGGTTAGCATCATTTCACAGCTTCTTTAGTTGTTGTTATGGGCTCTGATGCACAAAATTCTTAAAACATCAATTTAAAAAAATCTCTTTGTGTGAACTCAGAAGCTACTGGAAGGTAACCACGGATCAGGCTTCTTGCTCCTGCAGCTTTCAGAGGGAGTCAGGGACACAAAAATGCTCCATCAGGGTATCATAGCAGTGTGTTGGTTGCACAGAAGTTAACTGGGCTAAGAAAAGAAGAAAACCAATTACCTTTTAGACTATTTGCTGCAGATGATGAAGGCTACAGTATTCTGAAGACTTTGTGAGAGCTTTGTGTGCACTTGCTAATCCTTACGTGAATCCGAATTGCAAATTACTCTGGAAACCAGTGACAGCTCTGCACTCCCTGCTGAACAGACTGCACAGAATGCCAGTCACAGATCTCTGGGAAAGAAGTTTTAACATGCACTGATACATGCTAGGTGCCATAAGTCCAGTAACTTGGAATAATTAGAATAATTTTTGTAGCGTTTTCTCTTTAATATATTTAATATGTGTTTTTGTTGTGCCCTTGGAATGTGTGTATTCATTTGCAGGTAAATGTATGTTGTTTTTATTGTTTTATTGGTTTTAATTTGATTACATTTTGATCTTCCCAGTGAACAATTATTTAAACAACCAGCAGAGACTGTTAGAAATATGAAACCGACATGCATATCAGGTACAAATAGCTACACATTCTCCTTTCTGAGCTGATTTTGTTCTTAATGAGATTTTAATTAGTTATGCGTACATTTATGACTACTTTTTATCACTTGTTATATATCATTAGATGACAAAGGTGCCTTATGTGTAATATCCTTTAACTGGTTTGCATAGTGTTGGAATTTTATATTGTACACAGTTTTACCAGGAGAACATTTATCCTACTTTTCTTCTAATACATATTTTAGTTTTCTTTTTTTAAACTGATTTTAACTATAGAAATGAATGTATCAGAGATTAAGTGTAGTGTTTAATCTGACTATTGAAAGCCACTAACAGAAAGTGGAGGTTTGGTCCAGAGCTTGTAAGGCTGGGATAGAGCCTGCCTGTGAGAGTGACTTTTGCCTGATGCTGTTCCTACACAGTGAGCATGTGTTTAAGAGAAAAGATTTTCAGATTTGCATTAATCCTGGTCTGATACATTTATTTCAGAACTGGGATTGGTTCAATCAAATCTTTATTCATTATTTACTTTCCTGTTAATTTATAAAATTACTGAGTATTCATTAGATTAGAATTTGCCAGAATGGGAGCTTTACAGGTGACCAGCTGATCTCCAGGTTACATCTGTTTAAAGTGAGAATATGTATTATTCCAATAGATTACATTTTTCAGCATTTGATTCCAAACAAAAATAAAAATTATAGGGCTTAGTTAAGCAATATGGGTTTACCAGGTTAATTTACTATGTTCAAGTTGAAGTAATTTCCTTTGGGAGAGTGGTGAAAAAACATTGAATTGAACGTAGTTATTCTGGAGTTACAGAAATGTGAATGTGAGGCATTTAACTTGAGAAATTTCACTTGGATTTTCTGCTGTTATGTTAATTAAACTTTAATAATCTACAAATAGAGAATGCAGTTTGATGTAGTTATACCGATGCATTATTACCATGGAAAAAGATAGGTTACATTTCCTAGTGACTTTTTTCCTCCCTCATTTAGATTCATTCTGCTCAGAGAAAACTGAGAGAGTCAAAAGTACTTCAGCTACACCTTCATCCCATAAAATGGCAGATTTAAGATGTTTGGGTAAATATTATCTTAGATCTTTCTTTCCAGAGTACATAAAGAAGCCTTAAAGAGTCAGCAGTGCAGTAAGTGAATTGACTTGACAGAATTATAATGCATCCCCTTCCTTCCTTCCTTCCTTCCTTCCTTCCTTCCTTCCTTCCTTCCTTCCTTCCTTCCTTCCATCCTTCCTTTCTCTGGGGACACCAGTGTCACTGTTTGAACACCCCGTGAGGTTTTCCAGCCTCTTTTTGCACTGGAGTATCTCCACTTCCATGTATCCCTGCTGAGGAGCTGAATTCCTGCTCCTTCCCTCCTCCAGCTCCCCTCCCTCCCCTTTTTTCTACCTCTAATATAAAAGGTAAATATTGAAATAAAGCTGACAAATTGCAGTTTTGGTCCATGTAATAATGTGGGTCTCCCTAATTAGAAGAATACTTGAGCAAGTGTTTTCGTCCTTTCTCTGCTTTCAGAGATGGAGGAAGAACACATAGCCCTGCTCATTTCCCTCATTTATTCTCCTGCTAAGCCTCCTCAGTGTTTTGCAGCCCTTCTCTTCTCTCTGACTCACTGCTGTGAAGTATAGGCAGGCGGTTTCATGGTAATCCACATCTACAGCCCTCCATTACCCCAGGCTCTACTTCCTCAGCCTGCTCCATCAGTAGGTCATGAGAATGTTGCTGGTACTCTGGATTTGTGAGTGGATTTTGTAATCAAACCAATGTTTCTTTATTTAAAAACCCCCAACAAAACAAAAACCCACAGAAGACAAAGACCCCCCCCCCCCAAAGCAGCCCATAACCCACTTTTGAACATTATTTTTATCCGAGTTGTCAAACTAAATTCAAGCTGAGATTTAGCACTGCTTTACCTTAAGGTAGAATGTTATAGATACTTGTGCCCTTCCTGTGACTCCTCACACAAGTTCTCCTTCAGCAGATGTAACTTAACCATGAGGGCTTCCAAGGATATCTAACCATAAATTACCCTAGGAATGTCCTCAAAAATGAACAGCAAGGCTTCCTGTGAGGGCATTCATGCCTAAACTAGCTCTGTGCCTCACTCAGTACTTCGGGAGTGGAACTGCAGTATAACTTAATCCCATAAAATGTTGAAAACTAATTTTTTTTAAGAGAGAAAATACAAAGTATTTCAGGAAGTCACATAAAAATGCCATGATTATGGAAAACCTGAAGTCAAATTGATCCTAGTGAGCAAAATAAAACCTGAACTTTGTGGTGGCTTGTTTAGAAGCTGTGATTGCTGTTTCTGCAATATCCTATTTTTCCCAGGTTGCACAGCAGGAGGACTGTCCTTGAACAGTAAAACCTTCACCAAGATGTTGCAGAGCTGCCTGCACAGGTGTGAGCACCACAGAGTCATCCTGGAGGCTGAAGAAAGATACCGAGGGGAGCTCCGCAGGGTGGCTGCTGGTAACAGCAGCAGACCTGCAACTCACCAGAGTATGGAGTTTATGTTCACTGCTTGGAACCGTTGCTTTAGAATTGCATTTAAAATTCTGAACTTTAGTTTATTTGCTTCTGATTGTCTTGCTGTTTTAAACTCTCATGGAATTTGATTTACAGTGATTTGTACTAAGTGAGATCAGAACTGGCCACTTCTGTTTTGAAGGATCTTGTGTGTTTCTTGCCATGGTGAGAGATGCTCATTATAGGCTTTCATAAGACTCTCACATTTGCCAGAAATAGTCAAGTCCTTAGAGAAAGGAATGTATTAATTTGAAATATGTGCAAGTAAATGTGTGACCATGCCGAAGTAATTTAATTTAGTATTCACAGAATCACAGAGTGACTGGGTTGGAAGAGACCAATAAGATTACCAAGTCCAACCCATGCCCTAACAACACCTCAACTAAACCCTGGCATCGAGTGCCACATTCAGTCTTGTTTTAAACACACCCAGGGATGGTGACTCCACCACCTCCCCAGGCAGACCATTCCAGTGCTTTACCACTCCTTCCATGAAAAACTTTTTCCTAATATCCAACCTCTGTTTCCCTTGGTGCAGCTTGAGACTGTGACCTCTGGTTCTGTCAGTGCTGCCTGGAGAAAGAGACCAACCCCACCTGACTACAACTATCATTTCAGGGAGTTGTGGAGAGTGATAAGGTCACCTCTGAGTCTCCTTTTCTCCAGGCTGAGCACCCCCAGCTCCCTCAGTCATTCCTCACAGGATTTGTGTTCCCAGCCCCTCTCCAGCCTCATTGCCTCCTGTGGATGTGCTCAAGCATCCCAAGGTCCTTCCCAAACTGAGGGGCCAGAGCTGGACACAGCACTCGAGGTGTGGCCTCACCAGTGCCCAGTACAGGGGCAGGATGGCCTCCCTGCTCCTGCTGGCCCTGCTCTTCCTGATACACTTACAGGTCCAGGATACTTAGAGATCTTAATTAATTAAATAGAAGCACATCCTATATTTTTCTGGTTTAAAGAAGGAATTCTGAAAATTAAACAGTTATTACTTACTAGCATTTGTTCTGGTGCTCATATTTTCCAGAAATGCTGCTGGCCCCAGTGAAGAAAGACAGGCTGCATAAAGAAATACCAACTTTTAGCAGCAAGAAGGATGGTTTCCAAAGTAAGGGCTTGGTTTGGAAACCTGTGTGAAAAGCCCTTACTGTCTATTAATTCTTTTGCAGAACTTTACCATGGAGACTGTGGATAGAAAACTATTTTCTTTTTTTTTTTTCCTCTAGATTCTGAGAATAATCTGTATATTATTAGGCCATAAAATGCATACTCTATAATCATAAAATTGTGTAATGCACATTATCTCCCTGCAAAGTTATCTGGCACTTGCTGTGTTGATCCTGTTTTGAATCCTGTCAGGGTTACTTCCTTGGCATTTGCTATTTCTCAGTTTTTTGTGGCATTGTTTTCTAAAATGGAGAAGTTTAGTCTGGCTCAAAGCAGAGCTTAGCTGCCTGAACCTGGATTTAGCACCACTCCTTACACAGTTCCAGTCATGTTTTTCCATTAGACCCATTCCTGTCCTCCACTGAGGACTTGGGGCTTGTGATAAACAGCCAGACCGGGAATCCTTAATGAATTCTTTGAAATGAAATTCCCACCAAAAATTTATTTTTAGTACTCTTATTTTCAAAAGCCTTGTTTACATGGTTATTTAATTAATGCCCATTAAAAGCTAGTAGGTTGATGTTTGAATTTGTTTATATTTTCCCCCCTTCAGATTCAGTAATTGATTCATTTGTCTTATGAAAGCCACAAGTTATTTTAAAATATAAAAACCTAACTAAAGCAACTGTATTTAATCTTGAAAGCCCATTACAACAATATATTGTCTTTAGCAAGTACACATTTCCTGTAAGCTAAAGTAAACTGAGTTTTTCAGTCTTTCTTCCAAGACCAGATTAGTGGTATGGCTCAAAAGATGGTTCTCTCTTAAATTTTAATTCCTAAAACATAACCTCTGTTATATGATTTGGGGTTTTTTCTAATAAAGATGTGTAATGTTTTATTGTTTGGTTTTTTATTGTTTGTTTTTAAGGCATTCTTTTGACTCCAAATAGAAAAGACAAATCTAATACTATAAAGAGAGATGAACATAGTAGAAATATTAGGTGGACTAGCAACTATAACTTGACACCTGCATATGAAAAGTGTGAGTATTACCAGAAAATGAGTTCTCTAATATGCACAACTGAAAGATTAGCATTTGCATTTAGGTCAGGGCATTGAGAGAAGCACCTGTCCTTTATCTCCTATTGGAGATAAATGGCAATGAATTTAAATAAAGTGTTATACTTGTCTCTTACAGAAATCCACTTGAACATCAATAACATTATTATTTGTTTCTGGTTCATCAGTAGTCCCTATGCCTTAATGTGGATTATGAGAAAAATATCTAAGGAGAATGAGATATTACTAACAAATTACATATTCAGATTCATTTGAATAAATGCTCCTTTACAGTTTTATATCCAGTTTTTCAGTAGATTTTAGTTAGTTTAAAGTGACTAAGTGGCCTCCTTGTTCACAATTTTGTAGCTTTACAAAAAAACCAAGATGCTAACCTGAAGAGACAGAGAGTCAAAGAGATGTGCAGCCAGAAATGTCAGCACTTAAAAGAAAATTGCATTCATTCACTTGACAAAGATGAGGTTAGTTATGCAAAGCCTGATCATGCACTGACATGTTTATAAATGGCCAAATAAAAGCACTAGGAATTACGTAGCTTTTTTTTTAGTCGTCTTTAACTGGAGCCCAGTAGCAAAATGAACCTTATGAAAAAAATATTCCTGTATTGATTCTACTCCAGTCACACTGATTTAGCCCTGAATTGAGTTCAGCATTTTTCAGCTGACATATTTTCAGAATGGTGGATTGGAAGGTCTGATTTTTCCTGTATTGATGAAGATTTGCACACTATGGAAGCAACAGAAACCTAAAGGAATAAACCTGCTAAAAGAATAAACTATGTAAGCACAAGAGAAATTAAGATCACAGAAAAATACTGTATTTTAATAAGTGTTGACAGTGAAGAAATATTGGAGAAGCATTGCTCCCTTGCCAGTGAGACAATTTCTTTACAACTACTAAATGTTGAATTGCTGGTAATGTTATTTCCACGTGCAAAATAGTATGTACATTTACATAATTCTTAATGACACCAAAATAATTATTTGCAGGGTAAGGAAACGTGTTCCCTGGCCACGAGCATGAGACCTTTGAACAAGAGAAGAGTCCGAAAAGATTTCACAACTGAAGAAATCAACTGCCTTTTGAAAGGCGTTCAAAAAATGGGCAACCACTGGAATTTGATTTTGTGGTCTTACCCTTTCCAGAAAGGACGGACAAGCGTTGACCTTTCCAAGAAGTACTACAGGTTACAAGTGCAGGTACACATCACTGAATTTTCTACTGATGGCAAATGCTGGGAGCCCAGTTTTCATTGTTAGCCCCTGAGCTGACTTGCAGAAGTGAAGACAGGCTTTCAGAGTGTGCAGCCATGGGATCGTGCCTTGTGTCAGTGCAGTGCCCATGAGAATAGCCATGAGAATGGTCTCTGGTGTAATTCCATCAGAACTGGAATTCAAATTGGTGCTTGGAGAGAGAGAACTAAAGTAGGGAAAGACCAGAGAGCCTTAGAACTTGCCGCTGCCACCTGACAGGGTACAGAGAGAATGAAAGTGTCATTAAGGACTCTGAATTAATCACTGTATTTATCAGGAAGTTGGTCTCCTGTCTGCTCACCTGCTGTTGTGATGCTGGTCTGTGAAAGCCTCTGCAGCATTTTCCCCATGATAAATCCATGCAACCCTCACACAGGGAGCATTGCTCCTGTGCTTTGGAAATCATGGGAGCAATTAAGTGATAAGCCTTTGTCTACTGAAAGCTGATCTGTAATTGTGCAGTGGTTTGGAACAACATTTATCTTGATATTTTCTCTTTTATGTCCATTTTATAGATGAAAAAAGCCCACAAAGGACATCAATAACATCATCTGTGAGAGCTTTGGATTTTGTTGCAGAATGTTCAAGAACAGCCTTTGTAATATTGAGGTATTGCCAGGACAACTTGAGCCCTTGGAGAATTTAGGTTGGTTTGGACTCCTGTTTTTCAGTGGCAACTGACAGAATTGTTATGCATTATAATTTAAATTTACCATAACTTGACAAATTATTTAAGTAATGCTATCATAGGCAACAGAATCTCTATCAGTAAAAATTACATTAATTTGGAACTTAATTTAACCTTCTTGAGCATTTGATCTATGCAATTTTGAGTTAACTTTTTGTGGCTTGCTCTGTACCATTTGTCAGAAAAGGATGTATTGCTAAAATGAATACTTTATGCCTGAAATTGCTGTTAATGTTGTTGTGTCTGAATCTGTTTCCTCTTAATTAAATGAAATGTTTAAAGCAGGTAGAATATTTTGTCATGTGTTGAATATGCTGCATGTGCAGAAAAATATCTTTGTGACAGAAAACACTGAATGTGTGGTTAAACACTGCTGCACAGAAGAGGCAAATCTTTCACTGCTACAGAAATTCTGTACTCACTGTTGAACTGAGCAGTACTTGTAGAATTTGGCTTCTGTTTATAGTTGGACAGTTTTCTGGTGTATTTTTCAAATAAGTGAGCAGAACCAGCATTTCTGCTAATGACACATTTTTTATAGGACGCTTTACTGAAAGCCTTGGTAACTTGCTTTTTCAGTGATAGCCTTAGTATTTCAGTTGCATTTTTTATTTGTTCTGATAAAGAAATGATGACTCAATAGTAAATTTATTGTGGAAAGGGTTTAGATATTGTATTAGCACTAGGTTTTCACTATGATGTGGCTTGAATGCTTGAAAACAGGCAAGCTAACCAAAACCTGAGAGACTTGCAATAAAGATGATGCCAATGATGCAATAAATATGTTTTCCAATATTTTCAGCTGTTGCAATTTGGGGGGGGGGGGGGGTTTTTTTAAAATTTTAAAACCTGGTGAGTGACTGGGGGGGGGGGGGGGGGGTATTTTTAAAATATTGAAACATCTATAAAAGATGTCTCTGATTGGAGCTGTTGCCAGTAGCAGGGTTGAGTATCAGTGGAAGTATTGGCAGAGTAGGAGCCAAAAAGGCTCCTGAGGTGGAGTGTCCCCAGGGAGGGCACTGGGGTCCCTTACACACTCCAGATGTTTTTCCAGGGATGCCATCCTAGTCCACACAAGCTCTTACTTCATCCTTTGACTGAATGTGTATTAGTGTCCACATTGTCAAGACCTGAAATATGTCTCAAGTGACTAAAATATGTAAATCTTTACTTGCCACAAGTTGAGAATGTTGCAATACTGACAATTTACCACACCTTAGGTGTATCCTGTGGAGCCTTTGGTCTCCTCTCCTCTTTGGAGCAGGACTGAGGTCAAAGTTATTAAAGTTGTTCAGCGCCTTGCCAAGTTCTGAGACTCCTCAAGGAAGGAATTCCTGCGGCCTCTTTGGGCAGCCTCTGCTTGTGCTTCACCTCCTCTTGCAAGGCAGGGGCTGGAACCACATCACTGGAACATTCTGGGGGGATCCGAAAGGGAAGTCATGGATCAGGAGCAGACAGAAACCTGAGGTGTCAGTTTGTGCAAGTCTTTTGCGCTGTCTTTTGCTCTCCTTTGGATTGACTGCACAGTTTTGATCAGTTTAATTTTCTTGCACAAGTACTTTGAAATCCATATGTAACAGGCACCAAAATTGCATGAGAACAGCTGATGTCACTTTTAGGCTTGTTGGGCCACCCAGGGCAGTGTTTCAGCACTTTGAAAGGCTGGGATAACTGACAAACCATCCAGAAAAGTCCGTTTGTAAAAACTCCGTGCCCTCCTGGCTCTGTTGATCAAACAGAGGGTGTTAGGGGTGTGAGGATGGGGTAGTAATGACAGCTTGATCAGTCAGCAACAGTTTACACAGTGTGCTCATCAGAACTGCCCCGGCACTGCCGGCACAGGGCCGACACCGGCGGGGCACGGCAGGGCAGGAGCCGGGGGTGCGGGGAGGCACCGGGGAGGTACCAGGGAGGTACCAGGGAGGTACCAGGGCGGTACCAGGGCAGGTACCAGAGCGGGTGCCAGGGCAGGTACCGGGGGTTCGGGGCGGTACCAGGGCGGTACCAGGGCAGGTGCCGGGGGTTCGGGGAGGTACCAGGGCGGTACCAGGGCGGTGCCAGGGCGGTACCAGGGCGGGTGCCAGGGCGGTGCCAGGGCGGTACCAGGCAGGTACCAGGGCGGGTGCCAGGGCAGGTGCCGGGGGTTCGGGGCGGTGCCAGGGCGGTACCAGGGCGGTACCGGGGCGGGTGCCGGGGGTGCGGCCGGAGGTTCCTGAGCGGGCGCCGCTCCCGCGGGCAGCAGGGGGCGCTGGCAGCCAGGACGGCGCGCGCAGGGCGGGCCGCGGCCGGGGTGAGGTCACTCTTTGTGGCGGCGGCTCCAAGATGGCGCCGGTGCTGGCGGAGAAGAAGCTGCTGGGGCCGGACGGGCCCGGCGGGGCCGAGCTGCCCGGCGAGGAGGACGAGGGGCAGAACCTCTGGTGAGTGCCTGCGGCCGCCCGGGCCCGGCACGGCGGTGCGAGCCCGGGCTCCGCCGGGCTGGAGCGAAGCGAGGCGAGGGCTCTCGGCCGGTCGGGGCCGCGCTCGGGCCCCGCGGGCGGCGGCGGCGGGGCCGGCGGGTAGCTCCGGCGGGTGCGTGAAGGGAACCCCACGGGCGCAGGGACCGGAGTGCGGGGGTGAGGCAGAGCGGGGGAGCGGGGCCGGACCGCGGCTCTGCGGGACGTCCGCGGCTCCGGCTCCGGCAAAGGCGAGCTCATGTGTTTTCGGCTTTTATTTCTAAAGAACGCTTTAAACAAAATACCTATCGTGGCAGAAAGGCGTATATCGAATATGCAGCAATCGATTATGATGACAGTTAGTTGAAAAGTAATGTTCTGCAGTATTACGGCCTCTTAAAAGGGAGGAGAACCTTAAATGTCCCTGCCTATGGTTTAGGAATCATAAAAGCTCCTCCTGCTCGTGGTGGTTCAGGGTGCAGTTGGCCTGTGGCTGTGGGAGCCCCGCTGGTGCGCAGCCCGCGTGTGCCCGGTGCGGATGTGCTGAGCTCATGGTGCTGTCGCTGCCCGCTCGCTCCGCGCGGTAACGCGGCCGCTCTGCTGCTTCCCCAGGTCCTCCATCCTCAGCGAAGTCTCCACACGGTCCAGATCGAAACTGCCATCGGGCAAGAATATTCTTGTTTTTGGTAAGTAGCACACACGACCACTTGGGTGTTGGTTTGTTGCTTTTTTATTTGTGGAAACAAAGTGTATTTCAAACAGCGATTGGTGCAAACTGACACATGGCTTTGTTATAGTTGGGTTATGTAATTTGATCTGTGGTCTTGTCTTGTGCTTGTAGATTTACTTTCTCTTTGTTTTCCACTGTTAGATTTATAGCCTATTTTAAGTAACAGCAGAGAATAAGATATTCTTCATTCTTTGCTCCGGTATAAGCCACTGGATTTAGCTGAAATACTTGAAAGAGAACAGCAAAGAGCTGTAATTCAGAAGTGTACAAGGATGCTTCTCATTAATTAAGCAAGTTGTGAAAAAATATTTTCTATGGAGTCAAATGTAATTCTGAAGGTGGTTTTTTTTCCTCTACAAACTTACTGGCAGGTGATGATGGTTCAGGCAAAACCACACTCATGGCTAAAATACAGGGAGCAGAGCATGGCAAGAAAGGAAGAGGACTGGAATACTTGTATCTGAATATTCATGATGAAGACAGAGATGGTAAGTTCGTTTCAAGTGCAATCTCTTTAATTAAGTAGCTGCCATGCTGTTTTAATAATTGTGGTTTGGTGAGTATGTTCTGGGCTACGCCCCAGTAGCTGCTTCAGCGTGGTGCTGGGAGTTGTGGGTGCTGGGTGTCCATTTCTGTGGACGGGAAGGTTTCACAGTCGATGTCTGTTCTCCCTTCTGCCCCTCTGAGAGCCTGACCTGTGCCTGGAGCAGGGCAGCTCTGGAGATGCTTCTGGGCTAGGGGAGGTGCCTTTGCTGATGGTGACTTTGTAGCAGCTGCAGTGGCTTTGCTGTGGCTACTTTGTGACTGGAGAAGAGAGGGATACTCCATGAGAATTTCATGCTCAGCATGGATCTCTGGGCGCAGGGTGTTGCTCACAGGGGGTGTGTGTGGAATTTTGGTTAGCTGTAACAGGTGTTTTGCTTTACTTGTTTGAGTGAGGAACAGAACTTAAAGTCAGAATTAGTGTTTCCTTTTCTCATGCTGGAGCTGATCTCTTTGCTCTTTGCCCCTTGTCTTTTTGTTGCTGCTGCTGATCTCTTGTCGCTACTGTGTGGAGGGAGATTATGCCAAGAGAACATTCAAAAGCAGGCCTTGTGATCAGATTACTTGTATTTTTGGGAAGGTTCGGGACAGGAAGAGATGGGGAGTGAGTTTTTTATCCTTGCTCCTAAATGTGCCTCTGTTGATCTCATTTTGGGCAAGCTGCTAGACCTCCTTGGGTTGGTTTGTCTTTAAAAATGGGGAATGTAAGCCTTCCTATTCATGACTTCCTTCAGAGCTCAGAAGAGGGAAGTGGTGGTGGTGGTGGTTCATCCCTGTTTCTGGGAACAGTCAGACTAGGAAGATCCTATAATGGTATTTTGAAACTGGAGATGCACTGAAGGCCTGCAGGAGTGATTAAGTGCCATATGTGACTGGTTGTTATGGAGATTGGGCCTGCACTCACGTGGCAGGAAGCTGCCTTTGGATACTAAGTTAGGCACAATGAAAGGATGAGTACATTCCTATATCTTCCAGGGGCCTCCTTGCAGTTCCCAAAAATCTTTTGGGCTGTAATTTTAAGTGCTTCTTCAGGTTCTGGGTGTAAGTGCTTTTCCACTATGCACAATCTGCTTTAGTTCAGCATAAACACTTCAGGGGGGGAAAAGCCCCTATGATATCAGGAGGGCTGAGGCAGCCTGTGTCATTAGGCCTCTCGAAGCTTCAAAGGAGATGCTGTTACAAGCAGAAAAATGTTTGCTGTGCTGTTTTTCCTGGTGTTATCTATCAAACCTCAAATATATCACTACTCTGGAAATATTTTGGGGCTATTCCTGAGTGGCTGAAAGTGATAAGTATTTGAAGTGATTAGGAGAAGTCTGTCATAAGAACTCAGGCAGCACTAACAGGAAAAAAGAGATCTTTTTGACTCACTGCAGGCTCAGCTGGCCAATTCAGGTCTTCATGCATCCTCTAATGTGTGTGTTAGGAGCTAATAATACATGCCTTTTTCCTTTCTGTCTCATTAGTGTCATCCAAAAGCAAAATAAATAGCAAAGTGGGTCAGGACCTCCCAGCAGGCAGAGATAACACTCTTTCTTCTCTAGGACAGGTTTGGATTTGGTTTTTAAACTCTCTGTGCTTCAGATGAATGTATGCTCATATCCAGATTGGGGAACAAAGGCTTTATAATTGACCCACAATTCTGGAAGCCATAAAGAACCTCAGGGTAGGCATTCAGGAGCAGTTGAGTGGTTCTGAGAGTCTCTGCTCTTTATTAGACTCCAGTGTAGCCAAGACCAGATCACAAGGTTTTCCAGGGGTGCCAGGTCAACACTGGCAACTGAAACTCTGC